CGGGTATCCATAAATTACGACGGCAATTCGTAACAATTACGTTCTCTGTTCTGTAATTCTATTATTTATGTCCGGCAAGAAGGGCACTGCCTCTCATCCGTCGGGATGAGAGAGAGAGAGAGAGAGAGATCGATATCTGTCTTTTCTCGGGGCGCGTTTATCGACCCCGTTCGAAACTGCGACACGCGGAAACCACGTGCATGCGTGCGTGAGTGAGTGCGTACGACCGCATTACAAACGCGTGTCTATCGGCTGCAGCGCGAAAAGGCGAAGGGATCATCGCGGCACACGGGGAGACAGCTGAACCGAGTTCACTAGGGCGAGGGGGATATATACGCGCCGACCGTAATGCCGTGGCCAAATAGATGCATCGCCCGGTGTAGCCGATAGCGGGTAATAGATCGATTCGAACGAAAGAGTCCGAACCCAGTGAATGAAATCGTGAGACGAACGGCACGTGGCGCGTCGGATATTCGAAATATAGAAATAGAGATAAAGGAGGAGGGGTATAATTGAAACGCCATTAAATGGATAAACGCAGTCGTCGGCGGTTTGTATCGCCGTCGGCGACGAAAGTCATCGCGACGCAGCGTGTTTGTGTTTCAATCGCTGTAGAAAAGAAATGTCTCAAGTAGTTCACGGGATCGTTTCCGGCGTGAAAAGACGGGAAAAGTTCGACCCGTGTCATTTCTGTACGATCAATCAACGATTACTTTTTCAACATCGGGATATTAACTGGAGGGGAATTGAGTCGGTCGTTCTTGAATCTCTTTCCTTCAATTGCGATATTCTTATGATTTTAAGAAAACTTATGCAGAGAGATATCTACACTGAGAGAGAAAAATATTTAAAAAACAAAAGACATTTTATTCGGCGGTTACCAATGACACTTAAATCTAAATTCTTTTATTTAAATGTACAGCATGAACAATCGCTTTCATGAAAAGCTACAGATTTAAGAAAATGTATATTTTCTCATTTGAGAAAAATTCTTTCTCAGTATAGAAGCATTTATATTAGTGTAAGTAAATATGTCTGTGTTATTCGAGAGTACTCATCGAATAAATATTTTTATTTGTTAAATATTTGTTCTCCTATAATGTAATATTGCATAAAAACATTAAAATATTCCTCTTCCATTGTTTCTCTCGCAAGGAAACATATGGATAACTTGCTCCTCGTGTAACTGCCTCGGCCTTCCTTTTACGGCGGTAATGAGGAAGCACGTTGTGCTTAGAATCCTCCATTGGTGGAATCACCAATTTGTCTCCGAGCGAGAAAGAAAGAGAGAGAGAGAGGGAGAGGGACACGCGTTCGAAAGCTATTATTTATTGAGATGAATAAGTGGAAAAACGTGGGATACACGGATCGATCGATAAAAGTTTCAAGAATCTACCGTGAGTGCGCCGCGCAGCGTATCTACGCCGTGCTCGTGTTCACTTCATCTACGTGTAAACAAATCAACGGAACCGAGTGGTGAGAGAGAGGCTCGCTCGTTCGGCTAAATAAACCGCGAGCCGGCGAAAAATAATGTTAAAACCACCGATGAATCAACTCTCCCGCTACATTCCTCCGTTACGGTAACGCCCGCTTTGTTCATCGACCGTCGTGCAAATATTTGTCTTTCTATAACAATTACCGCCTTTATTCGGAACGTTTATTTGGAGAAGCGGAAGAGGGGAACACGAGAAATATATCGACGCTGTATATATAGACAGAAAAAAAACGAGTATCAATTCAAGACTCATATTCTGTTGTACAAGCAGGAATATATTCATAAAAATAATTGTTGTGGATTGAGAAGAAAAAAATATTGGAAAAATATAGGAAGAACGATATCTTCAGACTAATACAATTCTTAGCTTGTAGGTATTCTTCCTTCTGTCCGATATTTTTTTCCTCTCTCAATTCATGAATAACATAAATATATTTACAACGGAACTAGGATGTAGGATTTCTATATTCAACTTTTTCTCCACAACTGAAGTAAAATACATTCCATCCTCCCTCCTTCCTTTATTCCTTCCGTTTGCCCCATCGACGTGTTAAGATACGCCGTGTAATAGAGAATTTTCATTAACGGCGCATTACGTGTCGACGATTACGCAATTCGCGATACTTTTCCGGGCAATTACTTACGGAGCATTGAGCCGGCGGGCAACCTGGCAGGCTGGCGAAAAGTCCGACGCTATGTGCGGGTGCACTTGCGCGGGTGAGTACGCTGGTCGGGCGAAAAGAGAGGAGGGTTGTCGACGCGGTATCCCCAAGCGAGGGAAAGCAAACTCGCGAATCCCGAAATAGAGGAGAGAGTACGCTCTCGAGCCGAAGCGCCAAGGGTGGAAAATTATGCGCGTCGTAAAATCGTGTCGTCGCTACTTGTTTCGCACGCGACGACGACATCCAAACGGAAGCGATGGCGTGCATTTTATTTATAGGAAGTTATACGCACAGTGTGCGAATGGCGGCGGAAACGACCGCGTTCGTGACCGCCGAGAGGCACGAAAATTCTCGAATCGAGCTGCTTACGAGAGACGCAAACGCGCCTAGCAAATTCGTCTAATGAGCGTAAGCGCCGGTGACTAATGGTCGTTGGGAGCAACAGCGCTGGAAAATAATGGTAGCAATAATAATAGTCGCACAGTGTGTGGAAGCGAGGCGTGCTGGCGCGCGGAAAGCACACTTGTGTTTGTGGGACGCTTGAGGGACTCGGAGTGAAAATTTCGCTCTTTGACCCTTCCGATACGGCAGGATTCAGTCGAGAGAGATAAAAACATTCCTACTATCGCTTTGACGTAAAAGGGACATTCAGTAACACCTTGGCGCAAAAAAATTTACTGTCACAATTGAAAATCTCGCTGGCTTAGCGAATTTAGAGTCGCAATTTATACAGACAATAAAGTTTTTATAATATATATAATATAATGTATAATGTAGTGTTATAATAAAACAAAGTATATTTATCAGAATTAGTTACACCCTGGTAGAAATTTCATGTATTTTTTTAGTAGTTACCGGACAGTTATATTAACTACTGTTTAATAATTTAGAAGTTAAACTACTCGGGATTCCAATCAAGATATAACACTTTTCCCGCAGTTCCGGGCAAAAGATGCGCAAAATCTGAACCTATTTACTGAACGAAAACAAAATGAAAAAACTTTACAGATGGACAAAAAGTTATTCAATTGATCAATACCAGATAATAACTGGACAGATATCTGAGCAAACTGCGTATATTTTTACCGGGGAAACTGCTTCAACCACTGAATAAAACTCTATCAAGTTCTTATTCTTCTCCATTTTCTACGCAGTATTGTTATACGAACTAATGAGTATGCATTAATTCTAGACAGTAACTGGATGGCTACGTTTCTACCGGAATAAAGTTAGCGACTATGCCCAAAAAACTTTGACCACAGCCACCTTTCGGATTCAGCGAGCGCTCGGCACAGCGGTCGGCTATAATCACCCTTCGTACCGAAAGGGTTAAGGTGAGCGGTGTGAACACCGAGTCTGATCCTAGTAGCGAGCGCTTAATGAGCGAGATGTCCCCTCAGTCTGCCGAGTCGATGGAAAGTGTATTCATAGAGTATTTACAACCAACGAAAGTCCGAGTATATTTATAATTCACGAAAAGTGTATTTATAAAGAACGCGTCTCTCCGGAACGCGTGCTCGGTTTGGAAGGCGACCTCGGCGTCTATTCGAGAATCTTGTTTTCCGGAGTCGCTCCGCTCTCGAAAAACAAAAACACGAGGCCCGATCGCAGCGGAGGAATACCTTTCGCAGGCGTGGTGGGGGCAAAGCAGAGAGAAAGAGAGAAAGAGTGAGCGTAGGGCGAGAGCATGGCCGGAGAACACGCGACAAGCGACAGGAAATCGTGGTCCGGGCTTGGCACAATGGCGTTCCTGGACAAACAAGCAGAATTCGATGCATCCGTCCAGCAACGTCGCGCGGCTGGCGGCTCGGAACACGCCCGGTCCTTTCAGGACGCACGCATTCCTGACCCTCGGCCTGCCGCCGCTGCTCCGGAACCCCCGACGGCGGGGCACTCCACCCTCGAAACTGTTATAGTGTTTCCAGCCCCTCCGGCAGCGTCCGTAATCGCCTGTGCAATGATACGCCAGAAACCCCGTACGGCGTTTATTCCGGCGGAGCGGACTCGGCATCGAACTCCCTTTTACGAAGCGGAAAGATCGGATGGAGACGAGCGCAGCGGCGCGTGTGCGCGCGCTTGCACGCGCAAACAAGCGCACGGTGTTCGATGTGTGCATCGGGCAGAGAAATGTCGGGGGCTGGGTTGGTACATATTTTGCGGAATTTCGCTGCCGAGACACTCGAAAATTCGCCCGCTTCCTCGTAGATAGAAGAAGAAAGCAAAGGGGAAAGAAGAGAAGAGAATTCACTCGGCTGTTCTTTCTTTCTCAATTCATCATTTTCCCGATTTTAACGAATTCGGGGAAAGCGGGGAAACCCGGATTGTTCCACGGCGATACCGCGCCGTACGAACGTCCGGATTACGACTTGGAGGCTCGCGGGGAAGAAAGCCGACGAAGCTGTAACGGTGTGTGCGAATAGTTACGGCATTACCGTAATCGACTTAGTCGAGTATCCGACTGTATAAAAGACAAGGGGACGGCAGTAATGCCGCGCGTGCAACGTAAAAATGCGTTTCACTTTATCGTCCGGCGCGTCGTGCCAGAGGTGTTACTCATTGCAAACAGTCGCATGCATTACTTAGGCACCGGTTTAGCGTTATTCCCGCGTTACAGCGTATCCCTCACACCCGTCAAACGCATTGCTTATGCGGAGCGCAGCGTGCAACGGCCGCGTGTGGGTGTGTGCATTCACCCACTCGCGCGAACACTTGACGAGTCGCGTTGTAGACACGCGTGTGCGCCCGCGTTTCACGTGTGCCTGCGTGCGATATGCGTATGTTCGTGCGTGCGTGCGCGCGTGTGGTGCGTGCGGTGCGCGCGAGAAGGGCGAGGGTGGCCGAGTAGGGGAAACTAAACGCGTGTCTTCGGTTTTGGTTTTAGTTTCGTGGCAGTCGCTGCCGACGACGACGCCGACCACGACCACGAAGACGACGACGACGACGAACTCGGGCTCTCAGTACCGAATTGCACCCCGATCGCGCGAATGCGACACGTGACGACGCGACTCGCTGCATTACTCTGGCGTCATCTCTTCCCGATTAAATTGACGTCGCGCGGGAGCACGAGTGACTTCGAGGGTGCGCGTTTCCTATGTGTATCTGTGCGCGAGTGTGTCTGTGCGCGAGGGTTGCACCGGGGGGTTTGCGGATTTATTCGTCTCGGATCTCGGAGCATCGGCGGCGCTCCGATTCCCCCTTCGACTAGCCTGAATCAATTTCCGTGTAAGGAGCATCGTGTATTCGTGGTATAAAGTAAAGATCTCTGAAGAACTTTGAGAGCGCCTCCTCTGAACCTCACCTTTGATTTATTCGATCGGAGGCTTATCACTCACCTCACTATCGGCGTGTAATCCTCGAAAGGATTCATCGAATTAATCGACACCCCGGTAAACGAGACACCGGTCGGCCGGCTCCTTAAGAAAGAAGAATGCTCACACGAGTGATCGTCGTCATAGCCATCATCATCATCGGCGAAGAAGTTGTGTAAGTGAGGCGCGCACGCGCGCGCGACGGTGGCACTTGACCGCGTCTCCAAATTAAACGAAGCGCCGCGCAAAAAAGAAGGACCACCTAGCGAGACTAACATTAGCGGGCGGACGAGGGGATCTGTGGTAAAAAGTGGCGTGCAAAAGGCACGCGCGAGACGCAGGATCTAAGTCGAAATTCCACGAGAGGGTGGCGAAGGAGGAGGCTCGGGGAGAAGCCAAAGCGGACGAAGAGGACGACGACCAAGGGTCGAAAGCCGGCGAAAGTTTCGACCCGTGGAAGCCGCGGAGATAAAGAGAGGGAAGACACAGAGGACGCGGGAGGAGGCGCGAAGAAAGCAAGAGGAAAAAAACGTCTGGTTTTGTTAATCAAAGGGTTTGCAAGACGACGCGCGCGGCCTAATAACGAGCGGGGGAGCAGGAAGAAGGACGGGCGTGAAAAGGACTTTGCGGAGGACCCGCAGTTGTCGATTGTGGATTCGCTGGCGACTTTTCGCGAAGAATCCACAGCTGAATACGACGATAAGGAGCGAGCGGGGCCTTTCTTCATTCTCGAGGCAGAACGAAGGCGAAAGGAGCAATGAATATCTCGCGAAACCGTCGTTGAATGTAAATACGCACGGTAGGAGGCTGAGAATTCCAATAAGCCGGCAGCGTTATTCTCCCGTGGCGATTAAACATTTACAAGCGCCGAACGCGCAAACGTGGAAAATACGGCGAGCAGAAACGTCGGTTTAATTCCAATTATCGCGTTCGCGCGGGAATAGAATAGCAAAAGCTGTGCGGAACGGAGAAACCTCTCTCGTACTTTCTTTCTCTTTTTTTCTCTCGCGTGCGCGAGAGGGGATCGTTCTTATTGGAGGAAACGGAGAGTCGTCTTCGTGAGATTCGTTGCGATCACAGATCGCGCAGTCACTGCAAGCAATATACGCAGAATAATCGCTTCTCGTTGATCAGGGATATCGAGAATTGACGGGAAGTGCACGCACGAAAGCGACGTTACACGAGGAACGCCGAGAAACGATCGGATCGAGAATGCCTCGTTGTTCCGGATCGTTCAAGTGGTCGCGATCCGTCATCGAGCAAGTCGCGCTGCCGAAGTCGTCCTGGGATTGGAATCTACGGCTACGTTGGAAGGACCGTCCTTAAATTAAGTTCACCACGCTTAACCGCGAGAATCCGCAGCCGAGATCGAATGCTGCTCGCCGCGACGGTAGAGCGGATTCGTGTTGTGCGCGGCCAGCGCGATACGTGAGCGTCGATTCTCGATACAGGACGGGTATCGAGATGCACCGTGTGTCGGGATACGCGCTCCTCACGAGTCTGCTGATGGTGCTGAGGACCCACCGGACGGGCGCAGCCGCGGAGGAGCCGTCATCGGAATATCAGAACAAAGGTAACGGTCGAGTCGAAACTTTAACGTCCTTCGACGTTCCTTAAGGTTAGTTCGCGTGTTCTTAGGGATGACTTGTGCACTGAGTAAAAATCTATTTTGACGATACTAATTACTCATTGACTTTTCTCTTGAGTCTTTTATCCTATACGGAGAAAAAAGACTAATTAAATTAGCGTGACGATGAATGACTCAAACGCGTTTTAATTGAAAAAAAAACGGAATTCTTTATTTTAAAAACCGAATTTCTGGCTCGCGAGAACCAGAATTCCTAATTCATGAGGACTCCAAACCGAAATTTAATTCCCTTCAACCAAAACGCGTTTTAATTAAATCTGCGGATTCAATTTCCACGGTACCTTGAACAACCTATTTTGACGCTGAAATAGCGAAAACGAAAATTTGAGACATCACTAGGATCAAAGGAAATTACGTTATCAGAATTGAAATCGAACCTATTTTATCTTAGCTTCTACTGTCGTAGAATTCCAAATTTAACACAGGGCCAAAATTTCGACTCGAACGGAGAATCTTCTTCTGCCGTATTTTCTTCTTTAATTCTTCTTTAATTCTAAAATATCAAACGTCAGGCGTGATGTGTCATCCCCGATTCTGATCGGAAATAAAAGAAAACGAGGAATGCATTTGCTACGGAGATATCGATTCGAGATACGCGAGAGTAAATTTGCGGAAAATCAAGACGCAGTCAGTGGAGGAAAAATTGCGACATTTTAACCTCGTTATCAGCTTCAGAACGCATTCGATATCGAGTCCGAAATAGCGAAAATTTATCTTTAGAGAATTGTCAGAAAGTAAATTCTCCTATTGGATGCGAGACTCGTTGAAGCGAGAAATGTTGCTACCTTCCTTCACCCGACTGTATATATGCCGTTGTTTCGTGTGTTGTTCGCGTCTATTTTCCGCAAGCTGAGCCTGTCGGAAGATTGACATCTAATTAGCAGGTCAGATCCATCAGCGGCGGGGCTATTAACGCGGCATACGCTTGAAGTTCAACGCGCCCTCCAAACTTATATTTGGCCATGTTTATTACATGGCGCGCGTTAAATTCGCACCGCGACGGCTCGGCACGAATGTTGCGTGATTATACATTAATTCTAATAACCAGCATCATACAATTAATTAATCAGCATCGTTAATTAATAGCCCGTTCCGGTTCGATTTTTCGTCGATTTCACTTCAACTCGTTCTACCCGGTTTTGTTCCCTCAGCGTGAGTATCGAATTAAGGAAAGGTCACATCTCGAAGGTTCGTTCGGACCATTCTTTCTTGCGTAACTTGTAAGGCGTCTCAATATTTTCCGACCAGTGACACCAACCGGAAGGATTTAAATAAACCCGCAGACCCGCATGCGGCCTACTGACGTTTTAGCGTTCGTAAAATTCAATCAGGCGACACGTTTGTGAGCGCCTCAGTCTCTATGAGAGCGTCGACGTCGCATCAGATGTGCATCACTTCCTGTTTTCGTTTTTTTGCGAAGCAACAATATCGCCGTTCCTTCCGGCGGAGGAAGTAGATAAACCGCCGAGCGCTGCGCCGCGTATTATCGCGTAAGAGAAATACATCGCATGCGCGTACATGTGAACGTTTAATTAATTTTATCGCGGAAGAGATCTCTCTTTCTTTTTTCCCCTCGGAGGAGCATGGTAATCTGCCAAAATTGAAACAGCTGTTGAAATGAACATCGCGCGATTTAATTTCAACGGGACCGCGGACACGTTTGCCGCGCACGTCGGAATGGTTACGCGTTAATAACGTTAATAATTGCGTTATTACGTTATTACGTTATTCGGTTATGATTACGTTATTATTCGTCCCAACGCGGAAAATCGCGGAGACAGCGCGATGGAAAGAGCATCTCGGCTGTGAAAAATGGTGTAACAAACGGAGCGAAATTCGCAGGCTTTTCCGGTCACAGGACGACAATCAGCGACGCGGCTTTCGTCCGCGACTGGCGGCTCTCCTCGGCCGCTAATTCTTTTTAATTCGCATTAAATAATACAACGACGTAATTGGACGTAGATACACNGGGGGGGGGGGAGGGATAACGAAGAAATTTCGCGCGGAATCCGCGCGATATAATAACCGCGTGGGATAACAATCCGGCCACGTGCGAAACGCCCGATCGAAAATAGGAAGCGCCATAAGCGCGAATCGGCGCGGAGTGGATATTTTCGTCGACGGTCCCTCGCGGGAGCGAGCGAGCGAGCGCGGGAACTCGTGATGGTCGTGAGGACTTTCACGACGAAAGAATTCGCGCGATTTATTTTCAGCCGGGGAAATATCCCCGCATCTTAGGACTCTTCGCCCTTTGCCCCTCCGTGTCACTCTGATAAACTTCACCATTCGCGTAAAATGGAGATGAATACCGAACGTCATGCATGAGACTCGACATTTATTTACTGGAGTCTCCCACCGAGTTTCCCACCTTACGCCGACACTGAGCGGAAAGTGTTTCGCGATTTTTATTATTTTAATTAATTTGCGACTGTAACTGCATAGCAAAGTAACTACAGTCAGCACGAAAAGAAAAAAAAAATCTCAGCCCTTGCAACTGAATAGCGACAAGATGAGAACTCGGACGAGAAATGGTATTTCTGTTAGCGCGACTGAGGACGTTCGTGCGAACATTCAGCAGCATTGAAACTCGGTTGGGGAAACCGGAAATAATTGACTGAGAGGAAACCTCCTCCAGAAATCTTTCTACGATCGAGTCTTCGTCTGGCCCTCAGGCGGTAGAAAATTTACGGAATTGTCCTTTCCGTTGGGGAAACCTTTTTGTATTATTCTGTTTTACAAGAACAGAAATTTATAGTCCGAAACAATCGGAAAGATTTCAACACCGTGAAATCGAAAAATCGATTTCGATCGGGAAGCCACGGAGATCTCACGACACGTCATTGGGAAAGACTGCTCCGTCGCGCAGCGTCGATGATAGACCGATGATCCCGCTCGAAAGGGATAGCCCGTAATAGTCCAAAAACACGGGCGAAATTGCGATCGGACGGCCTGAAGCGTGCCGGAAACTCGCGTTTCCGCTCGGAATTGCAAATAATGCCGTAATGGCTCTCTGGTGCATAACCGACGAGTCTTACAATCGATCGTTTGATCGTCGCCGCGAAGGGCCGGGGGGTGTGTGACACGGTGAGCATAAAGGACGATAACGATCCGGCAGTTTATCATCGCTCGCTATATAGGAATCGCGAGGAGAGATGGAGAGAGAGAGAGAGAGAGAGAGAGCCTTTACATGTTTGTCTAACAGTAAAAGTCATGCAGAACGGCCCGTTGCGAAAGCAACACTTTCTGCGAAATGAAAACACATAAACCAATGCAGGCGGCGTGCTTTTCGCGCTTGGAAGCTCACCCTCGCGCGAGCGCGCGCGCACATCTCGCACACCGCTCTCCCCCGGCGCGTATCGCCTATGTTAATCTTCCGATGTACAGCGGAATTTGCATTTTGTCCATAAGATATGCATAATCCGAGAACGATCCTTATATAAAAGCTACCTGCGCGGCTCTATCGGACGCCGAGAAAGTTTTTACTTAACTCCTCACGCACGAAAAAGCGTTAAAATATTCCCGCTCGGACGATAATAATTCTCGGGACGATAACGTCAGCTCTTTTCAATCCGACGGGGGAGAGGGGGAGGGATGAAGAATTAGCGGTGTTTCAATTTTGCGAAGCGTTCCGTTTTTCAGTAGAAACTACGACGCGTCCCCAATATCGCGTCGGCGGTATTCTTTTAATTAATCCGCTTGCGCGTGTATCGCGACGCGAATGTTTGAAATAATAAAGTACGATAAAATAATGCAAACATAAATAAAATAATGCACCAGGATCGTCGTCGAGTGAAAGCAGCAACTTCGTTTGTTTGCCCCGAGGACCGTCGCTCGTAACGTTTGCGACATTATTTCCGCCGTCCGATGGAAAGAGTAATTAACGTAATCAGTATTCATAGGTCGCGTTTCGCAAATATTATGCGAGACAAATTACTACAAGCGTTATCATTTAATGGCCGCTCAGTCTTTGCCTACTGATTCGAATAATCATCGATTCGTCAAACGAGGTTCCGGCTGTAATTAATTGGAGCTCGTTTTGACATTTGTTCAACGGCTTGCTGATCCTGAACCCGTACGCTGTTGTGCGTGACAGGTGTGCCAACACGTTACGGACAAATATATGATTAACTATACGTATGAAAATTATACAGAGACAGAGACCGATGATGTAGACAACGGACTCGCATTAGATATTCATTACAACCGTTTAAATAGTCAAAGCTCGAATCTGTTATTCATTAATGCCTGTGTAATTATCAAAATAATTGGCGGCTCGCGGATATTCGCAATAGTTGCAACGACTGAGCGCGATTTGCCAAATAATCCACTGTAATGAATACGGTATGGATAATGAGTATAATAGATGTAGGTTGACTGAACAAACCGGAACAAGTGTACCGGTAATAATAACAATAGTAGTTAAGTTACGTAATATCAATAACAACTGGTCTGGTATAATAATCAAGCGTGCTTCAACTCGCGAAAGGGAAAACGGAGCGAAGTTTGAATAAATAAGGGAATCATGGGAATGAATAAGGGAATCAAGGGTTGCGGATCGGGGCGAAATTGTCAAACGAATTGGTCAAAGGTATACCGTCCCTTTTCATCTCTTTGACCCTTGGGAGGCGGGGCATCGTGCAGGGAGGTCGGACAGAACAGAAGGTGGTCGTTCAGGAATCGACATAATCGCCGGGTTGCGTGCGGCTCGTTACTTCGAAATAGATTCGAATAATTTAAGCAGGCGGCCTCACGGTAAAGCTTCGTAAATAATCACCGCTCATCGACCGAGATGAGATATTGCCTATTGCGCAAATGAGAAGAGCGTCTTTTTCGACCCGCTTCGGGACCCTCTTTTACTTGAATCAACTTTTCAGAACGCGCTCGCTACCAGCATTGTCGGTCGTTAATCATTTTTCCGTGAGCACCTTTCGATCGCGGGATTTTCTTTCGACATTCGACCATTAGCGTTTCTTTCGGGGACCATTCGTTTACCAACGATCTTCGACGACTCGCGCCCACAGCCGAGTGTTGAAATTTTGGTCCTGTGTTAAGCTTCTAATTTTATAACATAGTAGGAGCTAAGATAGCAAAATATGTAGGTTCAAAAAAATCTCAATTCTAATGTAATTTATCATCTACTTTGATCCTAATGATGTTTTAAATTTCTATTTTCGTGTCAACATAGGTTGTTCAAGGTAGCATGAAAATAAAATCTGTACACGTAGAGAAAGATTTTTTTAATAAAGAATTTCTTCAATTGAAAAAAAATTGTCTCTTAGTGTGGAGCAAAGAAACGAATGTTTGATTCAACAAACAATATTGTTGGTTTCTCAAACAATAAATATCTTTACAAATAACATATTTCTTTTACATTTTACATAAATATATTTATATATCCTCAACATAATAGTACTATTTTTTTTCTATCAAACAACCTGGTGTGATCTAGGAAACAACACTTTCATTAAAACAAAATGATATTTGATATTAAATTATATTGTTTTATATTAAACAAACCCAAGCCAAACAAACGCGCGTACTTAATTCGAAGAAATCTTTTCCTCTGTGTAAGATTAAAAGTTCAAGAGAGAAGTCAACAAGTGTCAGTATCGTCATAGTAGGATTTTATTAATCCATCTTTCTCTAGATAGGCGCGAAGACTATTTTAAGAGAGTCAAAGTATAATCAAAATTCCCATTCGGGCAAATGCTGTTCTCTCGGCACGCGTGACGTCACAGTGCGGAGCAGCATGACCGCGAATTCGACTCCGCGAGCGGATATGCGCGATCGCGAGTGAAAGGAAAGACAAGGAAAGAGGCCAAGCCGCGGTCCGGCACGGAAATAGACCATTCGCCGGAAGCATGGTTTCCCAATGAACGCGTGACACAAAAATAGCGGGGGTTGTGTTTCTCCCTCTCCCTTCCTTTCTCTCTCTCTCTCTCTCTTACGGCCGGTCTATTATTTACATAACTGCACGATACGCGTACACGAGTGTGCCTTTTTTCGACGCCACGCGATCGACTTCCTTGAAAGATCGCCTCTATGTATCGCGTAAGAAAACAGGAGGAACACGCTGCGGTGATCCACTTAGGAGTCCGTGAACTCTGTACTCGATTTTTTTTTCATTTCTCGCTACGGATCGGCATAGTGGCGACGACTATTTATAGCGTAGCATCAACAACAAAGGTCCGTTCTTTTTAACTGCACGCGCTCCTACATCCTTTATGTCAGCTCGAAATGAAGAAAATACACACTCACGTCTTGAAGAGGGTGAAGGAAGGGAACACGAGTGTTACGACGGATTGAATCTTGAAGAGCTTATCCTCGCTTTAATACGCGGCTACACTCGTCAGTTTAGGGGTGGAGGAAAAATGTGGTTCCCAGAGAAAACTGAGGGTAGGTCTGACGGGCATTTTATTTATCGTGTGTTTATCGTGAAAGAAACAGCGGAGAGAAGGAATTGTAAAATGTTCCTTTCAGAAAATATTAGATATTTTTCTTCGATTTTCATTAAGATATCACCGGGTATCATTGAATGATGTATCTTCTTCATTTCATTGAACAAAAATTGCGATTAACTCTCACGCACAATAGGAGCCTCGAAATTCTTCGTTGGCTGCTTCAACAGGTGTAACAACCGTGCGTCGCGCTTACTGTACGAAGATATAGCGTCCAACGAGCGACGTAAAACTCGACAGGGCGGTTAGTCGCGCGACCCTCTGGTCGGGTTCTTAAAAGCTCGCCGAGGGTGATGAAACATGTAGCGGCGTACTAATGAAGCGGTTTCTCGCGAGTGCTCCTGTCGTCGTTATGCACGCGTGGCCACGTGCGATGCTGCACATGGGAGAAGTGCATTCAGGCACGGTCGCGAACGGACAAACTTTGCCGGTTCCCGAGCGGTTATTCCGTCGATCCGATCCGATCGGTTTCCGTTGATTGTGAAAGCTTAATTGATGATTGAGCTACCAAAGACACGGTAAAAAATGTAATTCGGGGCGAATATATATATATATATATATATATAGAAAAAGTGCTAAAATCAAATAAATATAATTATCTGTTTTTCAGTTTCTTAAATCAAGTAATATTTTCAGCAATTTAAATATATTTTAACAGCTTATGGTAAATATTTACTTGGACGTAGCAACATCTTAATTTGTAAATTAACTACTAGATGTAAGCATAAAATAGTGCTAAATTTAAGAGAGTATTTATTAGAGTTATGTATACTTCTTCGCCGCTCCGAGTTGGTGATTTAAATTTAGTTAGATTTTACTGTTAAGTAAATACTTTTTAAAAATAAATTTTGATATTTCCAATATTATGATTTTAATACTTGTTGCAATTGTTTTAACGTAAACAAATAAATGTCTATTTATAGGAAGGAAATACTATATTATATATATAATCAATTATATTTCTACTTCTCGTAAATATTTGCCGAGGAGTATTGGAGTAAACCAACTTGCTTGGGCCAAATAAATATTACTTCTGAATAATAGCACTTCTTTCTTCGGTGTATCGTTCGCGTTGCTATTGGTCGTACAACCGATTTTCAAGTGAAATTAATGATATTTCATACGCAACTTAATAAGGTGCGATGTAATGTCGTAGTGTACGGGTCACTGGTGGTCGTCATTCAGCGTGTATCGGCATTTAGTAAAATAAAATTGCAAAATTCCAGAAAAATGCGAGAGAGAAAGAAAGAGAACGGCCGACAAAAGGACACCCGGCGAAAGGCGAGGTCGTGATGTCTCGGTGTCTGCGGCCTCACAATGAACAGCGAGTTATCAATGGCATACCGCGATGTGCATTAACAGCGCGTCTCACGCACGTGCGACACGCGGAGGACGCGTCGACGATGACGCTTTGCTTGTTTGCGTGCATGCGTGTCGGCTGGCCGACTCGCGATATATCGTTTCTATTTTCTGTGCCGGTGTTACGCACGACCCCGGCGGATCCGAGCTTGAATCGCGAATCTGTCGAACCGTGGGCGATTCCGCTGACCGATTTCTCTTCCCTCAGTACCCGTGAGATTGGTCTGGGCGGTCGAGGGTGAGAACGTGGAGCTGCCATGCGACATCACGCCGCCGACACCCTCGGATTCGGTCAACATGGTGCTCTGGTTCAAGGACGAAGTCGGTATACCGCTCTACAGGTGAGTCTTACGCTTCAAAGTCTTCTAGAGCTCCACTTGCCGCGCAAGCAGGAACGCCGGCGATGTCTATGTCCGAGCTAAACTTTGCGGTAGAGATGTCGCAAATAAATTCTCGAGCAACTATGCGGAAGTGTCATCGGCTAAAAATGATGCGAGCGATATCTGAACTTGATTCTGCGGAAAATTGTTACAAACAAATTTCTGCGAAATCACGCGGAAATTTCATCATTAGTCAGAAATTAGAACTGGCTCTTTATTTTTAACGGGGTAGGAGAGGAGGATGATAAATGCTGAATACACCGCGAGGACGAATTTGTTTTCTCATCGGAGCGGTCTCTGAGCCTGAAAAAAAGTTCTTCCCGTCGACGACTTCCTGTTTTCTAGGAACATCCCGCGCGGGGGAGACTGATTCACACGGCGGACTTTCTGCCGAAAGTCAGGCCTGCCGGATGTTGGCCGGGCCATGCGTTTATCGGGGGATGAGATGCCATTGTTCTGAAGTCGCATCTCGAAATATCCCAGGCACAGGGCGAGCTGACACACGTGAACTCTCGTTATGGACACCTTCGTCGCGCTCTGTTCGCAACGTATAAATATCGCGGGTTTATTAACGACCGATGCGCCTGATGACGCGGTTTACAATTAATTTTCGATAGTCTCTTTTATGAAAAAAGGGACTGAGTATCGGGTTTTAATTGCTTTCAGATAAAAATTGATTATTGCAAAATTATATACTGAGAGAAAAAAATATCTAAGAAATAAGAAGTATTTATTCGGTGGGGTACTAATAATATATTTACTGAAATTTCTCTTTCAAAATTCCTTTATTTAAGAATAGAGTGAACAGTTACTTTCATGAGAAGATTTAAGAAAATGTATATTTTCTCATTCGAGAAAAATCTCAGCGTAGAAGCATGTACTTTAGTATAAGTAAATAAATATTTTTTATTTTTTACAATTTTTTCTTTCCGTGTATAATAATGTTTTACACTCACTAGAACGATGGAAACGAAGCGTTTCATGTTAATTTCTACGTTAACTCGTCTCTACTTGACTTTTACGCGCGAATTCTGAAAAGTGGTAGTTATTCCAAATTTACCCGAGTATACTGATCGCACGGACGATCATTTAAATGCATACGCCGCGCACTGGCTCGTATACACGTAGGAAATTCAAGTTAGGCTAGATCAGGATTGTATAAATAATTCGACCGAATTTCCACCATCGGAAGCGTAGGTGATGGAATTTCATAACACCGTCCGGGCTTCAGGAATAGCAGTCGATCAAGAATTCTTTCCGGCTGACACGGGCGTTAAACAGAGCGTGTGCGGGGCGTCGCTTATTTACGAAAACGATCTCCACGGCCGTAAAACAAGATGTTCCCCTCGTCCCACTATCGTTCGTACGTTTCTATGAAAAATAAATAGCGTCGCGCGAAGATCACACGTTCCCAAGAATTTTTATTATGAAGATCCCCGCTTCTTATGTTCTCTCGCGCCCTTTTTAAATTTCTTCGAGTGAAATTTCACACGAAGTAATGAGTTAGAGTGACTTTTCGCTCATAGAGAGTGAATTTTCCCCTCTGAATCGTCGAGTGATTATTTTCATTCGAGGCTGAAGATTGAATTTGATGCACTCCACTGTTATTGTTGGAACAAATTCACTTTAAGTGACCGAAACATTCGCTCTTACGATTTCAAATGGCGTTCACTAAATTTCTTGGAGTGAAATTTCACACGAAATGTAGAGCGACTATCGGCATACTCGAATTCGAGCGATTTTCACTCGTATAGAGTGAATTCTCAAATTTAAATCGTCAAATGAATATTATCGCTCGAAAATAAAAAGCGAATCTGATATAATAATCGTTTGAAATGTTCACTCGTGCGGAATCCACTCTAAGTTTGAGTGAAACATTCACTCTTGCAATTTCAAGCGGCAATATTTTCACTATCGTTTTGAATGAAAATACTGCTATTTTTCACTCGTTTTGTACGCTATTTCATTACAAGAAATTTAGATAGCAATATTTGTATTATTGTTTTGAGTAGATTCTCGTTAATTTTGAGCGAGATTTCACTTCGAGAAATTTAAACGGGGCGGTTTCTCTCACGAAGCTTCCTGTTTGGCATTCTCGTTTGGTGTCGAAGGAAGTTCGATTATAACGAGGGGCATCGGGAGACTGCGAGAGAAATCCCTCTTTTATACTTTCTACGATCAAATAAGAAATCACGTCCGTTAAATTCACATCGTTCGAGTGACGCTTGGCCTTGTCGTTTTTTGCGCTTCGCACACTTTACGTTTGCGAATTCCTCGTAGCGGGGCGCATCTCGTGCTTTCGAAGAAGCGTCATATTTTCGTTTGACCGCGCGGAAGACGCCTCTGTTCAATTTCACGCCACGTAACCCGAGTCGCACAAATTAGAACCTTCCGCCCTCCGTCACTTCCGAATCGACTTTGACGGCGTAGTTGGCAACGATCGTCGTCAACCTCCCGTAAGTATCATCAGCGGCGAGTCGCGGGGTGTGCGCGGTAAATAGCGCTTTGATGATGCCTGCTTTTTCCCGTCGCACCAAGATAATTTCCTGCTCTCGCCGTTGCGTAACGGTCAGCACTCTAAGGCTAAGGGAATCTAAATCCGCAGGCGGCCGCTCTGCCAAATGCTCTTTTTCCCGGCCGCGAATAGACGTTAGGCGCGCGCGTGCACGCGTGTTTAGTCACCGCGAGTCGCCAATTGGCGAAAGCGCGATGTTTACCGGGTTCACGCTAGCGGAAATGCCGTACGAAACACCCGACGAGATGCCCACCCTCGCTTCTGGGATTCCTCCGAGGAATACATTGAAGCTGTAATATTTCTATCGACTCATGACTCTGATTTAGACAGCTGTCAATCTGACAGCTCCCGATTGCGAGATTATACACAAACCGGGAGGACTGAGTTACCTCCCGATTTCATCAATGGTTTGATTAAAACTTTACCCTCGAATACTAACCCTTTATTCTGGGTCCATGCTCCGAACTAACTCTATGTCTTAGACGTGCCGGTGATCGGTGTTTTTAGCACAGTATTACGCGAAAATTACTCGATGATCGATGTCCTTTCTTCCGCAGCCTGGATGCGAGAAACGGCAACCTGACCGCCGCCGTTCACTGGGCGGTTAGCGACGATCTCGGCAAACGGACGTACTTCCAGATCGGCGACGGTCACCGAGCGAAGCTGAAAGTCACCAAAGTGACGTTCAATGATCAGGGGGTGTTCAGATGTAGGGTGGACTTTATAAACTCGCCGACGCGGAATTTTCGCGTCAACCTGACTCTAGTTGGTAACTATCGCGTCTCTCACAGAGGACGGTATTCGTAAAACCGGATCTTGTATTTCAAATCGTCCCAAATCCCTGTTCAGATGCTGTACGGATCGTTTCGTTACGGAGTATTTAAAGGTGGACTTGAAACGATCTTGAATCTAAGATCCGACTATGAGTGCCGTTCAAAGAGTGCGTCGAGCGAGGATACCAGCGTCACAGTCCCACCATCATACGTTACGTTTTGCTTCTTGCAGAGGAGCCAACTAGACCTGTGATATACGACGGGACGGGACGGGAGGTGACGGGAGTGGCAGGCCCTTTCCTGGAGGGTTATAACCTCGTTCTGACCTGTCAAGTGTCCGGAGGTAATCCTGTGCATCGGTATTTCGCGCACAGAGTCTATCAATCGCGCCTTGTGTGTTCGACATTCTTTGAAATTGACATACGCGCACACACACAGGTAAACCCAAGCCTTCGGTGACGTGGTGGAAGGACGGCCAGTTGCTGGACGGCGTGGTCGATACCGCGTCTATCGGCTCGTCGAGTAGATTTACGGTGAACCACCTGTTCGTCGACAAGGTCACCAGGTCGCTGTGGGGAACGAAACTCGAGTGTCGGGCTCAGTCTGGACCGATAGGAAAAACTACCGTCCGCGAGGTGCCTCTCGAAATATATCGTAAGTGTCGTATCTCTCGCATATTGCACGATCATATATTTAAACAGTCCCGAGTAGCTGTCGATTTCGACTATACGAGTACCCGAGTATTTATCCGAGTATCCGGATAATCCAGATCTTTCGGGTAGTATCCGCAAATGTGTATATAAGTCCGGGTGATCCACCCGCGAGTATTATCCGGATATCGAAATATCCGGGTTGTATGTTGAAAGCGCTGATTCCGAGAGACTGGAGTCGATCGGAAGCGAAGCTGCGGCTACGGGCTGCCTCCGAAAACACAGACCACGATTACGAGCTAACGAGCCCATAAATCTCTCCTCACGATCATCTTATCACAGGGTAGCTCTCCTACGGAGGTTTTCTCAACTCTTCCTCCTCGACGTCCGGGCGCGCAACGGGCGCGTTCGAGCGGCGACGAAATGCAAAGGGCGTTTCGAGGAAACGGGCCATAAATGCCGCGCTAACGTGACATCTGCTTAAAATAAAATCGTAGAAACGCTCGCGCTCTCCTCAAGGCCGTTCCTCCGGGTCTCAAGCACGTGCTAAAAAGGCGGTCTCAAGCGGTGCGTGTTAAAGGGCTCTCTTGGCACGTTTTATCCGATCGACACGCCGTACTTCCGTTCCTCGCTCTCGCCTCTTGTATTTATTTTCGGGCCGAAAAACAAGCCAAGTGCCGTCTCACTTGCGCATCAACGAGGGTCGATCCACGAAAGCGATCCTTCCGCGATTCTCGGCGGAGTCGCGGTCGGATTTGCGCAACTATACTCCGTACTATTCGTCCTACGTGCCATCAAGTTCAAACCGATCCTGGCGCGTTCCTAGCGCGGTGAAGAAAGAAATGTAAATATAACCCCGGGAACTAACCGAGGAACTGACCCGCGGCGGAAGCGAAATGAATTCCAACGATTTTGCGCGGGCCTCCTTAACCGTCCTTTGATGGTCGCGTTTCGTGGAATTGTCGTGCGAAAGTAAAAATACGCGGGGGCATCTGGCACCCTCTCGATTCGTTATTTTCGTGGCGCAACGTCGACGACGACGAAATGCGGCCTGTTCGTAGTTTTTTCCATCGGCGGCACTCATATTTCGTGTCTACGCGCGCGCGCGCGCGCGCGGATTCGCCCGGCGAGGTGACGCTGCCACGTGCTTCCTTGCGCACACCGACTTGCGACAGAGACATTATTTTTGGCCTCAGCCATACCTCTTTTACGGTTTTAACCGCACAAATAATAATAGTAATACGCATGTAAGATTATTATCACGGACGTTATAATAACGCTTATTGGAAAAATGGCTTTCCTGACTATAATTCTCTCGCTATAATGATTATAGTTACCAAGTACCAAGTAGATGATGAAAATATTACCATTTTTTTTTCTTTCTGAGTGAAATTCCACTCCAAGAAATTTAAGGAATTTCTTTGTCCCTTTTCACGACGAGACGCTTAATGAGCAAGAGGGAATCGCGGAGATGGTTGCGAGACACTGTAAGAAGAAAGAAATCGCCGTCACGATTCTTAATGCCTTTGTCCGTGCGATTCGATCTTTCCGACGGTCCTTTATACGTAGCTTTAATTCGCTTCTCGCGTTTCAGTTAAACCGGCGACGGTGAAGATCGTTATGACCGACAGTCAGATCTTCGCTGGCCGTCCGATCGCCGCCAAATGCGAAACTTGGGGTAGCTCTCCAGCGGCCAGGATTATCTGGAGGCTGGGCGAACAAGTGATCGGCGACCCGAACGTGTCCACTACACAGAGAAGCAATATGACGGTGAGCAGGTTGGCCTTAGTACTCGGCAAAGAAGACGACGAGAAGGAATTGATCTGTCGAGCCGAGAATCCGAGATTTCCCGGGGGGGCGCTCGAAGAGGTCAAAACGCTCCGCGTTCTTTGTGAGTGTGCCTCCAGTCTCTTCAAACGTATTGGAAATTTTCTCCTTATCTTTTTCTTGTCTCTCTCTCTCTCTCTCTCTCCTTCTCTTTCATTTTTATCCGAGTAGAATAGAAATCGTAACAACTGTCTTTCCTGTCATTTGCGTCATCCGAGATCCTCCGAGCGAACGCTATAATAAATAATAACACAATCCTTCACTCGAACAATGAACAGATGCTCCGGTAGTCGTCGCCCATTTGGCCACTGGCTACGTCTTGGAAACATTGAGAGAGGGCGACGATCTCAAGCTAGTCTGCAACGTTCAAAGCAACCCGCCAGCGATGCGAGTGATCTGGTACCGCGACGTAAGTAGAAAACGGACGGTCGGTCGGGGAAAAAAGAGCCTCGTTATGAGCCGCCAGCCCGGGATGATTCATTGCCGCGGGTTCTTCTCTTCGTAGGACGAGCAACTGGAGCACGACGTGAGCGCTGGGATTCTGCTGGCCTCCAAATCGCTGACCATCCGGGAACTCACGCTCGCGCACACCGGCGAGTACTCCTGCTTGGCTGCGAACGCCGTGAGCGAGACTCACAGCCCGCCGCTTCTTATTCAAATCAAATGTGAGTGTGCGATTTGTCCCCACTGAGAAGAACAAAGTGTGGTTGACGCAAAATACCGTAAGATATTATCTGTCCGAAAAGCATCTTTTATCTGAAATAATTATCGAATTGGCGGAAAAGAGATGAAACTCTCTGGAGGCAGTTTCTTCAAACGCCTCTACCGGCAAAAGAGAAAACGTGTCTTTTAATTTTGACCAGCACTAAACAAGTACACCGGATTCTGTTGAAACCGGGGACGCGAATATTTCGCGGATGTTCTCCCGTTGGTATGTTTCCTCCATTTTTCACGGTGGCATCCGAAATGTCCGACAGACGCGCCGCGATGCAGAGAGGGAAACGAGAGGCGGGAGATTACCGTGGCTCTTCACGAAACCGTGACGCTGAGGTGCGAAGTGGAAGCGGTACCGGACGATCAAGTGCGGTTTTCGTGGACGTACAACGGCACACGCGGCGACGTTTTGCCTATGACGAGTTCGAGGGCCGAGAATAAAGGGCTCGTGAGCGTGTTGAAGTACACACCCAGTGCCGACACCGATTACGGCACGCTGGCGTGCTGGGCGATCAACAGTATCGGACGACAGAGGACACCCTGTATATTCAACATAGTACTAGCTAGTGGGTGTTAATCGCTTGTTAATCGGCCTTATCACGGACATCTCTATGAATTTATCTCACAAAAATTACAAGAAGACATTACTGACCGAAACAAATGCGAAATATTAATCATCGCAGTCTATTTAGCCAATAACTACCATTTAAATATTAATACTTATAGTTTTCTGATAATTATACAGTCTTCCTTTCCTCGATACGTAAGAGTTGGAATCAGTTGATCAGTTAAATTTCACGTGCCGAACGATCTCTATCGTCTAGAACGCGTGGAACAAATTTTTCAAAGAGGAAGAGAGAAAGAGAAAGAGAGAGAGAGAGAGAGAGAGAGAGAAAGTCAAGGATCGAACATTTTTTTGCATAGAACCGCCGCAACCGCCGATGGACTGTTCGTTGAACAACGAAAGTAACTCGCTGGAGGTTAATTGCGTCCCAGGATCGGACGGCGGGTCGCCGCAGCACTTTTTACTGGAAGTTCGAGGTTCCCCGAGGAATGTCGGCCAAATTGGCTTCCACACCCTTCAGACACCTCAGAGCGATCAAGGCTTGGTTGGGGACTCGCCGCCCATCTATCAGGATATGAATCCGAGCTTCCCAAACTTCCAGCTGCACGATCTCGTGCCGGGATACGACTATACGGTGTACATTTACGCGGTAAACGGACGCGGCAGGAGCGAGCCCGTCCTCCTGGAGCACATCAGGGTTGCGGAGCCCATAGGTAGTAAAGTGGAAAGGAGTGGGATATTTTTGGAGGATCTGAAAAAGGCGTTGCCGCGAGCCAGCTCTGAGAACATGATCATCGCGATCGCATTGACAGGTACAGGTAAAATCGACGATGCTGCCAGCTGCCTTCTTAAACACCGCTTTTTTACGTCGCGCTGACATTACCAGCATTTAGATTTCGCCCACACGGAGAAAAATAATTTTGTTTTTGCAGCAAAATCATCAATGCTATATTCGTTGCGACAGCGATAAAATTTCATTGACACCGCCAAATTAATGAATCGTTCGTAATTAGCTAACTCGGAAGTCAAGTCAAGTGTTCTTAGGGCACACGTTAGTTGGCTTTTCTTAAAACAAACCAGTATGTTACTTACATTTACTAATTTATTATTACAGCAAAATAATCCAGCTAACGGCAACTGGTATTTTTAACAAATCGTTTTGCCGTCTGTAGCAACTGATAGATTTTGCTGGGACGGCGTAAAATTTATTGCGCCAACAAATTATTTTTACCCGTGTAGCTGTGTACGATCGCTCACCGCACCACTGGAAATAAAATTTTGTCTTCATTAACTTTGCATTTTTGCATTGCGCACTGGCTTGCCGCGGATAGACTTGAATTACGAACCGCAAACATGAGAAAAACATTCAATTTCTGCAACTGAACAGGGATCAGATGAAAACTCGGTAACAAGTAATGATGTTTTCCGCGACCGAGAAATATTCCTGCGAACATTCAGTTGTATGGAAAACTCAGTTGAGATAACCGAGGGAAATCGCCTGATCTCCAAATAACGGAAAATCCAGTTATACGAACGAGATTGTTTTTCCGTGCATGGTGTATCTAATATGGATCGAAAGTGTATAAATGAACGGTGAATCTTTCGAAGGCGTGGCAGCGTTGATCCTCATCGGCATCGGGGTGATCATCGGCCTGGCGATCTGTAGGAAGCGATCGGGCGTGCCCGTCTTAGAGGGTCCGGACGATTTCACCACGCCGACCTACGTGCCGGGCCAGAGAATCGAGCCCAGAATCCGATATTCCAACGAGAGCAGACGTTCGCAAAGGGCGAGTCTCTACGTGGAGGAGAACCGAAACGGTAGTAAAGCCGCATAGAACGACGACCGTTCTTATTCGCATACTACCGATTGGACGTACTATTAACATCGGAATCTTCTTTCAGAGCCGGATCTACTTCACCGAGTGGAGCTCGACTCGCAAGACTAATTCAATTGATCCTGTACAGAGAACCTTAGGAATAATCGAGAGACGCGTAGTGCAATATAAAACTGTAGAATTCCACACGCTCGCCGCCGCGGCATTCGCACAAATCGGTGCATTCCATCCGGACCGGGGTCTGTACCGCGCTTCTTCGTTGGAGGAAAAGAAAATGTAAACAAACGACCGGAGTCGAAGAGTCCCACCGAGGTCTTCGGTGCGAGTCGGGGCGTCACCACATACATTCTATTAGCTATTTATATTCGCTTCACACGATAAACGCTTCATCGCGCCGCGCCACGCCACGGAAAGTCCGCCGCGGAAATTTGTACTTTTAGTTTGTATAGAGTCCAGAGTTAACCGGTGTTGTTACAAAGTGTATAGCTATTTTTACAACGTAGAAGGCTAAGCTTAAGCTCTTGTATACTTTCAGATATTAGCATATTAATACGTCGACCTAAAAGGAAGGAAGGAGAAAAAACCGTGATCTTGTGTACCTTCGTCGTGTAGTCTGCTTCAAAAAGAAAAAGCGCACGCTAATTTCGAATCTAAACGCACTAGTTGGGACAACATTCGTTCGATCGTGTGTATTGTGAATCTCCAGATGTTTTTCGATGACGATCCATCAAAATCTCGGACAAACCCGCTGTTCTATTTTGTCTTCTCTCTCTCTCTCTTTTTTTGAAGCAGTCCGTAGTTCGTAAATTATTTGTATAATCGTTGATCAATACGGATCATGTTATTCCATACGATCGTGTAAATACTGCACTTACGTGTACCGATCGGCATAGCGTAATTTAAGGAGACTAAACCACCGAGTTGTATTATTAGTGATTAATATTCAGTAAAAATTACAAGGATTATCTCTCGCAAAGGATAGCTCTTTACACGTCCCCGACCACTTATCCTCACGTTATTATATTCTAATATTCCTTTTCGCGCGGTTCTCCCTCTCTCTCTCGTCGAGAATATTGCAGAAATTAATGTCCGTTTACCCCGGGCAAAATTTGCCTCGCAAAGTCGGTCATATATGAAAGAATCAACTGTGCTATCACGTAATCGCTTTACATAAATCATTTCTATGACATCGCGCGACAAAGCGCGCAAAAGTCACTAGCGTCAAAGTGCCGTTAATCGCCACCAATTTGCCGATTATCAGCGACCATAAAGCTCGCTCGCTCGCTTTACCCATTTATTTATCTATTTCGCGATACTCGTTCGACGTTATAATCGCTCGCGCTGCCGAATGTAATAAACAAGCTAATATTTAATACGTTGCGATTTGATGTGGTGTTTAAATGGATTGCACGACGAACCGTAATCGCCTTTGAATTCTCGCGATGCGTTTCAGGGCGATATGAAATTTGTTGGCCGTCGGGCATCGATAAAGAAGCGTTTTGTCCGACTTTCGATGGATTCAATCAACCCGCCCGTGCAACATTAATTTTCATTGCAAAAGCCATCGACGAACGACGACATATCACAAACGACAGCGGAGCGTGTAGGTACAAAGATCATGTTTAACACCACGTTCCCTACCGTATCTTTCGACAGCCAGGGCGTGATCTACGTTACCAACTATCAGTACCGACGCAAAAACTGATACATCCGGCATCGCATGCTCGATAGCGCCACGTGTATGAAGAATAGACGTGTTTTTGAACAGTTTTGCCACTTTTCAACCCCCGGCGCGTTCCTCGGGTCGAAATAGACTGGTTAAATTCCACCTTTGTCAGGCCAAACGCGAGAGAGCGAGAGAGAAAGACACGAGAGAGGGAGATCACAACAGGAACGGGCACGTCACGAGAAATTCAATCCCGGCTTTTTATGCCGCATTGCATCGCGTCGGCTAAAAGCATCCACTCTGCGTGACGACGGTTTGTTTTACGAACGGACTCTCCCCTTCCTGCCTGCCCATCCCCCCTCCGACCATCCCCGGTGCGCGACGTCCTTTTGTTTTTCTACCCCCCATTAACCATCCTCCACTACCGCGCGATATCCAGCGCGCGCTTGCCCGACAATCGCGCCCCGCGTCGTTGCTCACGCAGATCCCGGTGATCCTCTCACGAGAGAAGGACGCCCGGGCTGAAGAATAGCGATCCTGTGGGCAGCGTCCTGGGAGGAGGACGCGACGAAAGAATAGAAATTGGAGCGGCCGCATAAGCGAACGTCGGGGATGGATTTTACGAGTCGGCCGAAAATGGGGGAGTCACGGCGACGGAGATAAATCAATATCGCGGATTCGGCGAGCAAACAATGCCGCCGGCTCCGGAATTCGGAAGTAGAAGGAAGAAAAATATATTCAAGAGGAGTCCCTCGTGACACTCGCGGCAACATTCAGCGGGCGTATCTCGCGGATACGAATTCGGGACCGTTTGGACTCGAGCCTGCCTGAGAATCCGTATCGACGCCGAACTACGTGAGGACGTTACTATCGAATACCGAGTCTGTACAAGTCCTCCTGTGCAAAGACGCCCCGCAGTGAGAAACCAGTTTGGTCAGATCGATCGGAAAATGGGCAACTAAACGTGTTTTGATTGAAGGAAACAGAAGAGCCAAATTTGGTTCTTACAACTAGAAATTTCGTTTCCCGTTTGGTTCTCAAACGGAATGCTGAGACAGAAATTTCTTGCTCGTCCACTTTCAAATTGATCCGACCAAACTGGCTTCTCAGTGCAGTAAAATCAAGCACGCGAGACATGTTTTCGTTCCAAGCCGCGGGACGCGATTGCTCCGACGGAGATTAACGTCATTCTTATTTTCATTTGCAAAGCGCGAGTCGCCGGTGGAACGAATCGATTCTATCGGCGAGTTCTTCGATTATTACCGCAGTATTTTCGTCAAAGTCAATTTTTACCGCGGCCAATTAACAGATCTTCGTACGCCGGGAGGTCCGTACGTGCTTCATCAATCGAGACGCGGCCGGTCGGATCAGAATTTTCCGACGTGGTTTCCTCTCATTCTGGGGTGCAGCCGTATATTTCCGGGATATTTCATACGGCTGCGGTGCGTTCTATTAATTTTTATAAATGAAAGTACACGAGCGACCGTACAGGGGCCATCCGTTGCGAAAAAAAACCCCACTCTTCTACATTTACAGTTTTCTCGAGCGCGTGGATTTTTGAGCGTTCTCGAGACGAATCTACCTTATTAGGGCTCAAAGCACACACACGCCGCACAACAAGGTGGTACGATAAATAAAGCAACAACGACGTTTAAATAGTGTGTGTGTGTGTGTGTTTTTTTTTTTTCATTATGGCATATTTACAATAACTTACTCATAGACGTACGCATTACAGTACTGAGATGCATTAACGATACTACACGATTCGCAGTTTCTCGTAGCATCGAAATTTGACCGGCTGAACGGCTCGTCCGCTCGTATCTACAAACTCCGTCGTGTTGGTGCGTTTGACATTTTTTTTTTAATTTGACGATGCAACTTATTTGTTATTACACAAAGTCATTGAGCCGTGTATGCAATTCGAAGGACATTTTAACAGCATCATCAAACCGTGTATATTATTTGACCGAAAATATTCGATTAAATGTACTAAACATGTATCAATTGTACACGCAGTCTTAACACGTGGCGTCGCGTCTTAATGATAAATTGGCGCGATTATAACGAACACAATAAATATAAAAAATATAATAATCGTGATGAAGCATTTTTACACGAATGCTTCACTTGTCAGTAACGTATTGATATTTATTTTGCGAGACACGCTACATGATTAGGCGATATTGCTTCTTCGAGAAAAAGTGCGATTAACGTAAAAGCCGGTGTATCAGTATATTTACATAACACGTACGAGCCGGTTCGCATTTAATAAGTCGGCGCAATAAATTGACCTCTAATTACATCGCGACCGTTAAATACATCGCGTTGAAGATCGTATCAAGATTCAAGCGGAGCGATGCAGCAAAATCCAGCGGATTACTTCGTCAATGTGTACGCATAGTTGTAAACTACAGCCACGTTGGCCCATAGGCTCGCTCCGGCGTTTAGCACCAGACACGGGATTATCCCCCGGAATTCCGCTTGTCCGAGGTCGGGGGTTCTCTGACACGAGATGAAAATCCGACCTTGCCTCGCGTTTGACGACTTTGAGCGCGTTCGCGTCATTTTCGGTGAACTTTTCGGAAACGAAAACGACAACCGGCCGAATTCCTCCTCCCCTGTCCGACCGTATTTTCTGTCGATGTGTGTTCATGAAATCCAACGATTCATTCGAATGACATGGAAATGTAGTATCGAGAATGTGCGCAAATATCGAACGCCGGAGGAAGAACGACGTGCATAGCGCTATGTACATACAGAGCCGTTCGTTCGTCGCACATCCGTTAGAAGACATACATTCTGCGTGCGTGTATTATATAACCGGTTCTCTTTCGTATTAATTTGAAGTGTCACACCGCCACGGACCAACCACGGACTCGACCTTTTGGCAGCGCGGGAATCAAAAAACAAGATGAAAACACTTCACAAGCGCCGATTTCTATTTTTTCATAAGTTCGGCCCGTCGCTTCGCTTTCGAAAGTCGACCGTAAATTGTTGTTACCGCGAAGAAGAGGCATGTGCAACAGTGCCGAGAATCGATACGATTATTATTCGGCCGAAGGAGGACGCGTGCCGGCGCGAAACTTTCACCCCGAACGCAGCGAATTTTTCGAGATCTCGTTTATCGACATGACCGACACGACCGCTTTTCTTCCCATACCTGCTGCGCTCGTTAATCGCGCGGCGAATTCGCTCGGCCGGAGGAGGAGGAGAGCAGCCGGTCTCAAATTAAGGGCTCCGACACAATGAAGGGAGAATAAGGAACAAGAAATTAAATATAGGGAATGATCAGGAACAATCTGGAGAACATTAGGACGTCTTAACACGTTGACTGCCAACTACGAGATATCTCGTAGGTTGTTTACTTGCCTAGGACGCCAACTACGAGTTATCTCGTCGCTTCATTACTTGATTTAATCAAATTGGCTTCTTAGACCAGAATCGTGAAAAGTTCCGTGGCAGTCAACGTGTTAAGACGTCTTTGAGACAATAAGACGTCTAAAGGACATCTCTGAGACGTCTTTTAGGTGTACGTGTTGTGTGGGGAGGAATTAAATTTCGGCATGTGAACCTTCAATCTACAATAAAGGAATAGGGAACCAAGACTGAGAACATTATCTATTACAAATTCGATTCCTTGTAACTTGTATGCTTATAAGGCTTGATAGTTAAGTTGAAGATTAACCTTCAAAATGTCTAATCAAATATACTAATGAGAAAGTCAGTTTGAATCAAACGATAATTATCCAGAAAATAATAAATGTTAATGGTGACGGTTGATTCGTTAGAAAACATGCACCGAAAGTGATGATCTCGTTTGAAAAAGTTCTTATATCTTACCCTCTACTATCCATTCCTTTTATTATATTTTAAACTATAGCTTATTCCTAATATTTTATTCCTCGTTCCTTTCATTGTGTCCGAGCTCTAACACGTGATAAGGCTTGTTACACAATAGTCTTGTGACATTGTCGGATTTTGAAAGTCAGCCGATAGTCTAACGAGACAATTCGTTTTCGAAAGATAAATTCTCCTACTGGAGCATCGGTTGCATTCCGATATCCGACCATCCATTGTTATAACAGGTCTGAGCACCGTCACGAGCGAGTCTCTCTCGTATCTACCCTTATGATAAGCGCGATAATCCGAAGAGAGATCTTTGGGTATGTATAAAGTATGCTTCAAAACGCGAGTCCCTGTGCAATGCACCGTATTCGAGAACGGAACTATGTACAAATAACGTTAATAGCCTGTGTAACGCCTGTAATCGTCTGGCAATGCGAGCATTTTCGAGCGACAGATCACGCAGCCACGGATAACGATCGTTGAACGCTACATCCACATTGCAACGTTATAATACAGACCTAAATGCGCGAAATGTGTAATCGTTCACTCGTACACGAGTAGAAGGATCTGTTTCTACGCTAATGTAACGATCCTGAGGGAGACTCGTTCGCGCCTGCACGATCGCACGACGCGAACGACCGGAGTTCTCTCTTGTAATGGACTGAATGCGAAAGATGAATAAATTTCCGATTGAACATTACATCGATGCCGTAGGGGAGACCGTTTGACCGATAACACGACACCTGGAAATTCATACAGACAGAGGATATATTGTTAACAGGACATTTCGAGACGCTCGGCTATTTACTCGGCCGTTCTCACGTCAGACTTTTCTTCTCCTTAGTTGCTACATTTTTCGAGGTCGGATCTACCGGTGTTTAAGCGCGTTTTTCATAGCATTAAATTAAACAAATGGCTAAATTCCAGATAAAATCAGCATACGCTGTCAGGACAGCTTCTGTTAAAAAAAAAAGCAATACATTTTAGTCGGGAATGTAAATATGATTTTAATACGAACTAGTTGATATGTTTCGCTTGAATTCATACAAATTATTAAATCAACGACTAATTAGCTGTCTCCGTTTCAAAGACACATTTTAGCTGGCACAGTTATACTTTAGCCCCGAGTGGAAACTCGCCCCGGTCTCCCGCTACGTTATTCCTTGGCCAAGCGTTACTTCTTACACGCTAATTGACTAGTATCGCAGAATCGACATCGATGTCGAACTCGCCTACATCTCGCTACGGATCTAAAACTCTTTCATACGACTCGCAAGGAGCCCGATTGCTGCGATCTGCGAGTGAACTCACGTACGACCGTGTCAACATACGTGAAGGATACAGCACCAGTTTCATCGGCCGAAACCGACATCCGGGCGGAAATTAGAGCCTCTGCGAGTCCTCCCGCTGGCCGGCCGCTTGCTCTCTCATGATGGCTTCCACGTCCTCCTCCAGTATCCGCTCTCGGTCGTTCAGCTGGAACGCCGGCTCGTTCACCAGCACGCTCTCCTCGGCGGTGCTACGCGCGTCCTCCGGCGCTAGGAAGAATCTCGCGCGGCCCTCGCATTTCCGCTGATAATCCGGATTGTCCGGGGCGGGCCGATGGCAAGAGTCGCAGACGGTGTCTGAGCGCGATGTGCAGGGATGAGCCTCGTAAAGACTCGGGCCGCACCTGGCGCAGTTCCAGCAGGGCTGCGTGCTGTGATGCGGGCTGTAAGTGCCGGCGGGACATCTTCCGCACTGGGTGTCGCGGCCGCGAGCGCACCGGCTAATCACGCCCCAACCTGGACCGCATCTGCTGCAGTGCGAGCCGTCCCGATGGTGCCTGATGTGAGGCCTGCCTTCGGCCGCCTGGAATCCGTCAGACAAGCAGCAGATGGTTAGTGCTTGCTTGAGAAATCAGTAACAGACCGACGTCTGTACCATAAAAGAAAAAGGCCGCGTGGCAGCTTCGGATCTTTTCACGAGCGATTTCAAAGAGCGAGACGTCAATGCGCTATTAATTTCTAAATAATATTCTTCTATATTTCTTCGAAATAATATTTCGAAATAGTAGCGGCGGTATGAGGAGTCATCTTACCGGGATATTTGCAAAATTAAATTTGGAAAGAAATTGTCTAACAATTGAAAACAATATTTCACGTATAATATGTTTCAAACACTTGGAAATGTAAATAGCCACGTGGATCGATCCGGACTGATCCGGCTCCCTCTTCGTATCTCTTCTTTGCTGTTATTGCTTTTTCTTTATGCGCGTGTCTGGTTTGAGAGATTAATTCTATTTACAAGTTCATTCGTTGCGCCACTTTGTCACTCGTGATTTATCTCATCCGAGAAAATAAGTTTAAAGGCCGCGTAAAAGTTGATACTAAGTGAATATAATATCACAAATTTCACTTAAAATTCTGCTGATATAATTTCGTAAATGTTTTCCTATAGAAGGGATACTGGTATAAATATCATTTAATATTTCATTAAATGCTCTTATTAATCGCATCTCCTCATTGTGGTTTCGTGCAAGCCGATGCGGGCGCGCGATTTTATGCTCTAGAGCATAAAAGCTGATTTTACAAACAATTTACCTTAGCATCTGAAATATGTATTAACGTTAGTTAGTTAGTAATAACGAGCGGACCTGCTTGCTGAGAAGTTACGAATCATATAAACGTTATCGCCCCCTTCCTTTTCCTCCCCCTCCCCTCGTCTCCTATCCTTCTAACCTGAATTGATGAAATGCAAGTTCAACCGTCCGACAACAGGTGCACAAGGGAAGGCAGCCACCTGACTTCGAGAACACCTTGCGCCATTCTTCCGCCTACTTTGGCCAGATCGAGACGCGATACATAAGTCTCCCATGCTCTCTCACGCGTATAAAATACCGTCCTTAATACGTTAGAACGGCCGCTATACTTTCTCCGAAATTAATTTTTCAGAAATTTTCTTCGAAATAAATTAGACCAGCGTCGATTCCTTCGATCTCTCAGTCCTCAAACTTGTTTCGAAATGTCAATCTTTAAATTTGTGCCGAAATATCGTGTGTAACACCATCGACACGTTAACCGATATCGAGCGAACGTAATGTAAGTTCATATTGTTATATCATCATCTATCTTCATTCGACTTGCTTCGATTCACAATTTACATAATAATATTTACGTAATGCTGAGACTCCGATTTTTCCTCAGCACAATATTATCATTTGCTTCTGTTCACTCAATTTCATAGTTATTAAACAGTTGCGACAGTTGGCATGAAATAGTTGTACTTAATCGTAGTTTATTTGTATCGTCTTATCTTGACATAAGTAGAGTTATTTCATATTTAGAAAAAATATTACGACTGCGATAATCTTAGGTTACAGCACAGCGATAATCTTAGGTTAGAGCACAGATGTCAGAGTGTCGAAAGACACAAGTCTCGCAACGCTCGCCGGTTCGTCTCTTCCTCTTTCACACACGTCGCATGACACTTAGGACATCTCTCTTTCTTGAGTTAAAAGTTTCATAAAAAAAGAAAAGTCCTTCATGTCCCCGATGCTCGCGATACTCTTTGCAAAGCGGCGGGCGAACAAGCAAAATAAGGAGGACAAGAGGCGATCCCTTTCGACGGCAGCTGTTGGCAGCTGTTTCGTGCGGCACGCGCCAACGGTCACCGTGCATCACGCGAATCGTTAGCACCGGGCCTTAATTCGAAACCCTTCACCTTACTTTTTCCCCCTTGGCGCGCGCGTCATTACGTCGTCCGTGCCACCGTCGAGTTTCTCGTTGCGCGTGCTCTTCAACATCACACCCGAGTCGAGTGTGTCCTTTCCGACGTATCTCAACTCTGCGATTCGCCATGATCGTTTCGCGAATTTGTGACTTTGCAGAAGAGACGTTGGGAAATGTCATATTTTTTTCCATCATATTAGTAATCAAGCGAACATTTGATATCTGAAGCTTTCGTGGTGCGGGGAAAAAAATCATCTTCTTCAAAGCTAATTGTTTACTTTGACATGACGGTCCTGTGAAGGTTTTATGAACGAGACGAGTGTTTTAGTTTCCCGTGGAAAGACGGTAAACTATTTCTGTTCTTTCGTTGTAACATCCTTTATTTTGAGGCGGTTAAAAGATCGCGCAAGACGTCCGTCACCTTGTCGCGGAGAATTTAACGCAAGGGAATTTAACGCCGTTCCCGCACGTCGCTGGATGCATCTTGTCGATTTACGGCTGCGACGAGACGGCTACCTCGTTGAGCCCCGACGCGTTACTTGTAAGAGAGAGAAAGAGAGCCCAGACTTTCGCTGTCTCTCCGCTCGTCCCGCGGTTAACTTCCAACTTTGTCATGCCGTGGAATTTTAATATGAAAATCGTCCTCAGCGCGCCGAAGTGGGTTACGAGCCGGACACGAGACGCGTTTATACCGTAAATACGCGGCGGGACCAACGGAGTCGAGAGAGAGAGAGAGGGGCATCCGGGGGCTTCCTCGGCGGAGTACGTTCGTGGGAGGCGCGTCGTATTCTCCGAACGAAGATGCATACCCTCGGATGCCTCGCAGCCATCCTCGGGCAGAGATTTATCGATCGGTTAAAAAACGCTCGTTCGCGCACAAGAGGGGTATCGTTGTTGTTATTGCGGCTTTTATTATTCCCCCGCATTGGCTGGGCGCGGCGAGACGTCGTCGCTCGGAGCGCTAGGCGTCATGCTCGAGCGATGACTCTCGAGAGCGCCGGGGATTCGCTGGCACCACGTCGGGAACACCCTTCGGCGATTTCCTTCGATCTCTCTCTCGCAGCTGCTGCGAAGACGCGACCACCGCGTCGTAAACCGCGCGAAGCTCTCTCCTTCTTCCTCGCGCGAGCGCGAGAGAGAAAGAGGATAACGTGACTAGACTTCCGAGCGGATGAGAAACGCAACGAGCGGCGAAACAATTCGGTCGAAGCGGACGATACACTTCGCTCGCCCGGAACGATCGATCGGGAGGACCGGTGAAAAATTCGCCGGGCCTCGCAAACGATCCGTAACGACGGATGACGGAAGTAACGGTGCTCATAGTGACGAGTATGAATAGGAACTTCCGGCATGACGAGCGCAACGGAAGCGGTAATTGCCCGTCGCTTTTGTGTCCCTCCTTCCTTTTTCCCTCCCTCTCCCTCCCCCGTCCTTTTTTATAGCCGGCGCATCGGCGACGATCGACCGCGACCTACGAACGCACGCGCGACCCGCGCGTAAAACCATCGACCATTTGTCGCGATGACATCCTGCGGACGTATTTGAACGTCGCACACGCCGAAGCGCGTTAAATTCTTTGAAAGACGCGCAAGCGCTTTCGAGCACTTCCGAAGGAACACGGAGTCGTCGTTGACGTCTGGAAGCGATTCCCTCGGAGGAAATCGCTACTGCTCAACCTGTTCCGCTGATTAGCGATGATTACTGGTATCTCGCTGCGTTTCTGAGACCGCGAAGATAATTAGCGGCGATAAACGCGAGGAGAGGGATTTTTAATGTGTACGTATGGGTGCGTCGAAGGAGAAGAGTGTGTGCGTGTGTCTGTATAGAATCGCACCGGGGCTGGATTTTCATCCTGGCCGACTCACCTAAGGGAACGTGGCCCACTTCCATTTGTCAACCGGAAGAGGCGGGCAGCTCGCGCACGAGAGAGAGAAATTGCAGTAATTTCGAACGTGGAGACACGTTCCGAACGTTATTACAAGATAAGATATCGGACGGGTGGATCGGAGTTCCTTCCGATTTTATGCCGTTACCATCGATCACATCAAATATCTATTAAACCCGATGTCGCCCACTCGTGTTCGCGCGAAATAATCGCAAGGGATCCGCGCACGTGTTATCGGGAAATATCCGGCCGACTAAGTATGTGCAACACACCCGCTTATATGTGTTTTCGTTCACGAAAATTCGAAATCTTGCTTCCTCCAACCGAAACGCCTTTCATTGTCCATTGCCAGGTGGATCCAATCGAACTAATTTTCAGCGAACTTACACGATGGCCTAAATTCTTCAAGCTAGAATCTTACGGCGCCGAAATACCGGAAGGTAAGTAGAACGTTACATCCATCGGCCCTTTGTACGCTCGATACTTTCGTGCGTTAGTTTCAATTGGAAAGCCGCCAGTAAGTTCGAGAGGACCGCAAGGTCCCGCGATACCTGGAGAAGGTGGTCACTGCCAAAGTTGCAACAGGCAGCAACCCGCGGAGTCACGCTAGACTGGATTCTCCCCCTTTGTATGTGTGTGTGTGTCCGACTTCCTCGGCCGAGCGAGCCGGCCGGTTGCTTCTACTTCCCGGAGGAAGACACTGTTATACTCGAGGGTGAGCCCACAGTCGCAGCTGCCTCGAGAACCGTGATAATTATCTTTCGGCCGCTACGCACCCTATTGTTCCCCGCCCTCGCCGAGAATCCCGTCAGTCGGATCGACGCACCTGGACGGGGCAAGGAGTCAGGTAAGAGCATATTCTTGTAACTGTCTCGACACGAGCGAATAAGGTGCATTAGGCGTTGTCAACGAGATGCCATCGCTTACAATCGAGATGAGAGAGCGCAGCGAAACTCCGTCTCGATACGAGAAACCGTTGTTGAGTGTAACGCCGGGCGTGCACCGAGAGAAATAATTTAATAACAGCACAGCTAAGCCTTAAATAGCTAGTTCGAACTTTGTCGTCATCGTTAAAAGTTGCTTGTCTGGAATAAAGTGCACTCGCTGCGAGTCTTACAACTTTGTTAGCTGAAATGACTAGTAAGAGTTGTCAAGATTAGTGTTGTGCTGGTTACATCATACATTGAAACGAATTTCATTTCATTTTGAAACATCATACAGCGAAACTCATTTATATCAGTGGATGAAGTGGTGAAATGAAATTAAAGAAATGACTAGATTTTAGAATCAGGTATATATTAATATCTTAAAGGATGTCATACTTGAAAACTTGACCGGCAAAACACTAACTTCTTGCAAGATTTATGTCGTATTGGCTGCACGGAATTATAAATTTGATAGTACGATCTAGTCAATATTATAATAGTTAATATTAGTTATTTATTAAATATTCACGTCGGACACGTCGCTACGGTTTATGCGCGTCAATGAAGAAAAGGAAGGAAATTATTAAGTAAAAAGTCGGGAGTGCAAAGAAAGGGGGAAGTAATGCGGACGGTGCTGAAGAAAGGAGCGTCGATTGCGCGGGTGTCGCTGGTTACCGCTCGTTAGAACGTCTCGCGTCTTCGCTGAAACGCAGCCCCGAGGAGGAAAGTGTCGCGACAATTGCAAACGCGAAAGAAACCGTGGCGGTCGGGTTCTCTTCTACAATGCTAATGAGATCCGCACTTGCCGAGAGCTCGTTGCCTGACATAAACAAGGTATCTTTCAGCCGGTCGCGTAAGTCCTCGGCACGAAGGCGCCGTTCGGACAGACGAGTTCTTCAACGAGTCCCTAATTTACGGCGAGAATACCGCCGTGGATTTTTTTCAGCCTGGTGAATTTACAAGAGAAAGCGTCTTGTTCGGAAACCTATATATATATATAAAGGAAAAGCACAAAATCTGACATAGATATGGTGAACCGACATACTCGTGTTTCTCAGTCTAGTAGCGTGCTAAATTTTTCGAAGAATTTTATCGAACATGAACTTCATCTGCTATAGTAGACACAGCAGTCTGTGTTCTCGTGTTCATTCTTAGCATCGTTACATCGTGATAACATAAGACGATAAATTACGGTGTATCGCTCGAAACAAAATAATTATGCGTGGTGTTGCGTTAAGCGTATCGTTAATAACGAGCAATTCCTCCGAGTGCGTTGCGATGACAATGTCTTTGTACGTAAGGCTTTTTCTCTGTTCGGTAAATAGACACGCGCACACATCCTTGGCCAAACGGCGTTTCCCGTGCTTATGCGAGGGCGTAGGAGAGCGAAGGAGTCAGGGCCGACGACGAGAGAGCATCGCGAAAATCGCACCGCGAGCGGAATCGCCGGCTCTGGGTTCCCAGGCCATGCTAATGAGCCTCATAAAGCACAATGTGTACCCCAGTGAACCGAATAACCCGCTGACACACGCTGAGTGCATGCGTGTATGTGTGTGTGTGTGCGAATGCGTATAAGTGTGCTTCCAGTCGCCGCACGAACACAATCGCGGACGACACGCGCGACCGTGCGCTTTGTGCTCGTGCGTTCAACTCGTCGCCTATGCGCGTATTCGCGCGGACCGGCACCCATATACACACACATATGAGACCTCCGCCATCAACGCAATGCGTCGCAAAGTATGCGAGGAGGTGCGAAACGGGAAACACCATTTACGAGAGAATTTTGCACGTTATTTAAGCCGATCATGCTTACGATATTCGGCGTCAATTGGGAGGACACCGACGATGTCCCTTCTTTGATGCAAGAGGTAAGCTATAAGTAATTCGCAACAATTGTGTTGCAGAGTTGCGATTGATAAAAAGTGCGCTGTTATATGTACAAGGTAAAAATTCATCTTAAATCAATGATAGATATAATTTTCATATATAAGCAAGAATGTTATAATCTTCTTAACAAAGTTTTAATCTTGATTCAAACTGATACTATTCTTAATTTATAGAGGAAGTTTCGTACCTGTTATTAATTTTTACCTCCTCCCTCAAATGCTTTGGTATACAGAAGATTTCTCGATAAAATTTACGGATATGTATAAATCACTAAACATGAGGGAGGGAGATCAAATATGCGACTCTGATAAAACGACTTTCGGTTCCCACGAATCATATCTCGTTCACACATATTGTGTAAGTGTTTGCGCGCCTTTGATATTTCCGGTCCAACCCTCACACAAGAATTTCTCTCTCTCTCTCTCTTATCTTTCTTTACCACCCCGTTTATACTTGTGTATACTATCGTTACGGGGACGGGCTGCGCACGTGAGAACCGATCTTATCCAGCCGGTAATATATTTCAGCCAGGTGAATAATCGTGGAGTAATAATTATCGTCGTATGTGTGTGGAGTCGGACACAAAATTTCGTATTTTTGCACAATAATCGCCATCACGATTGCTTTTCTCCGTCCTTTGCTCCGCTCGTGCTTTACTCGTGCAAGTATTCAACTGTTAATTAGCTCGGCGCCTGGTTTGTCGCGCATGCTCGTAATGTAAACGCGAGGGGTTACAAAGCGAAAAGAGCGAAACTGTTTTTTTTTTCTTTTTTTTTTAATAACGCGATTGCATCGCTCAAGTGACATCGGATATGGAAAATGATCTGATGCTGTTGAGGAAACGTAGCCATACCTGAATATTACCGCGACGCAACCGAACTCTTCTCCTTACGCAATTCATCGTGTTCTGGCAGAGCAAACGCAGCATTATCGAGAACGCAACGACACGCAATGATGTGCACTTTCATTTTTTATCGACGACTCGATAACTAAATGTACTCTTTAATTTCTCAAACAAGTAACCATCAAGTTACGGTTTGTCGGTGTAACATTTTCTTTTTTTCCAAACGATCACACGCCAAACTTATGAACATTAGAATCGGCCGAATCACAATTCATCTCAGATTATCATGGACAAGTGCTACAATAATATAATGAAAACAAAGTCGCATATACGCGCATACCTGGATAAATATAGCCAGCACACACGCGAAAACGATCGCCAGCATCAGAGGTCGATTGTTGATCAGCTTGATGCGATTATCCATTATCCTTCGGAGTGTTATCGAGCTGCGATTGTTTATCACTGTGAATTGGAATCACTTTTTTCTTCTTCTTCGCGGAATCGCGTGTTCGTAACTGACTTGCGTTAATCAACGGTAATTTCGCGTTTCGATCTACTGGGTGGATGGCGAGGAGACGTGTCTTGATATTATCGTGTAGGATCGAGAAACGTCTACGACTCGGTTGAGCTGGTCGCCGCAATGTTACCTCGACGAAGGTTCAACGTGAATTGAAGGGACTGCATTGATGCAGCTGTTACTGTTGAACACGCGCTCGGTCACGTGGCTCGGCGTACCCTCCCCGTTTTTACGATGTTCTGATCAAGCGCACGAATTTCGAGCCCATACAGAACGGGCCATTGTGTGGATCCACTAAATAAAAAGGAGGGGATATGCTTGACTGTATAAAGAGAAATATATAAAAAGAAGTAACTGTGTAAAAAGGTTAAAAATTAAAGGAAAAAATTAGAAACAGAGGGAAAACGTATTCGTAAAATAATTAACTCGCGTGAAATGTACGGGGCAGGGCGAGAAATCGTTTGTCGATTCAAGAGAGTTTGTAGATTCAAATTCAAGAAACAAAGTTACCCAATTGGCACTTTTGCTATGAGGAAATCTCAAGCCGGATCAAAAAATCACGATCGTTCCAGGGATTTAGGGAGCCCGTTGAACGTTGACAGTTACAAAACTGTCGATTAACAGCAAGATCGAATGGAGATTATAAGGCCGCTTTCCCTCCGATCGATCTCGAGACTTTGTCGTGTGAAAATTCGACGTCGCCATAATCGGACGAAATTTCAGAAAAGAAGAAAAAGAAACGTGGTTCGTGGAAGCGATTTTAACAATTCGAGATACATTCCGCACTTATGTAAAGGGCGAACGCGACACGCGATCCACTATTGAAAAGGAAGAAGAAAAACAAAAGTGAGAAAGAAAAGCTACCTTTCCCGAAAGCGAGGTAGGTTCCCGTGGAATCAGCATTTACTTCAGCTGCAGCAACAGCTGAACGCCTCGTGGTGTGCCACCTCCACCGGTTGCACATCCGAGCGAGTCAGCTTCTGATGAGGGCAGGTGCTCGCTCTTTCGCCACGCGACAACTTCCCGAGTGCGACCGGTCACGGTGCCTCCGCTCAAAGATTCGTTCGTTCAGTGCGTAGCGAATATCTTCGTCGGTAATTGTTCGCGGAACAGCTGCATCAATCTCGCACGTAATCAAAATAGCCTTTACGTGCGAAAATAGCGAGATGCATGTTCTTCGAGCGACTCGCGCGGATAACGCCGAGAGTTCGCCTCGCGATAAATGTGTGATGATCGAGACCACAGCGAGACCGGGATATTACGAAACGTCTAATCCCGGGCGTTGATTCCACGTTCCACGTGCACATCGAGCGTTTCCCATACATAAATAACGCCTCTCTCGCCCGCGCCCACCGTATTATATGGTCCCATTATATCGTATTGTATCAACCACCTATTACACGAGCCATTTTCTCCGTCGCTCGGTCTCGATAACGCCGATCCAAGCGTCGAGCGTGGAAGATGAGAGTGATTCATCACGTCGAAGGGGGAGGTCGGGCTATTTTTTCCAGACGGAATATTAAAACTCGCAGATGAAGCGCGCGCGCGTTCGATCGAGCGGGAAGGCAAATTTCGATCTACTCGCTCGATCGAACGTTGTAACGTAATTACGGTCATTATTGCGCCGGTAGCCACCTCAAAACGGGCCTCGTATAAACGAAGAAGCACGCTCTCCCAGCGAAATCGCATTAAAGAATCTTAAACGGCGAAGTAAATGCGATGTATCTCAAGTAGGAAATAACTGCCCGGCGAATATTGGCTCAGTACTGATTTTTTAGGGCAAGAGTAAAGATATTTTCCTTATGCAATATAAATCCAAGGAATCGATTGTAAGCCTGTCCAGAATTTCACTGGTACAACTGTTATAGTCGAGAAATCTTACCTGCGATCAACTATAGACGCGACGTAAATATACATGGTCGACGTAAATATACGTTGTTTTGCACGTGAATTTGTGTTCAAACATGACCGTGTTTTCTGATACCTACACAAAAAAGTAATTACATAGTGAGTATCAAGATATATTCTGTCGCCATTTTTAATGATTATTGGCTTTAAATGAGTTAGCAACTTTTGTTAAAAAAAACAAGGAAGTCTACATTTATGCAAATTGAAAAATAAATGATATCGATTCACTTTGATATGAAAATTTCATACAGATGTCTATCTTTGTCATGAATATTTTATGCATATGCCTAGCTTATTGCCACGTAGACTGTGAGTATCAATAATTAGATAAATCATGACATAGTATACGAAGTTCACTCGGACAAAGTCCGAGAGGAAGACCGACTTCACAATAATTTGGACACTCCTATTATGGAAATTTAATATTATAACATTGAGATTCCGTCAATATAGGATATTCTCTATTGCAGTTCTGTTAGTTTATTATTTAACCGATATATAATTCCCGCCTGTTCTTGATAAATATTGTTTAAATACCTATTAATATTTCTTTATACCTTTGATGGACAAAAGCAAATTTTATAAGCTTTTTTTTATAAATATTTTTATTTATTCTTTTTATTTATTATATTATATTTTTATTTATTATATTATATTATATTTATTATATTATTCATACAATATTTGGAGGTTTCTATATATTTGGCGTACTTTTTTCAGCTATGTAAAGTATCTTGTTATTGCAGATTAATGAGAAATATTATACGCGCTTATGTCGAGCGGCATACATTAAACTTTAATCTACACAGAAAAACACACTATACTAACTTCAAAATGAGTACATACTAGGAATTATATCTCACTTTCAACTAAAAGAATATTCATTAAATCAATTAATAGGTCCTTGAAGATACTTATATAAAATCGGCATAACACCGTGATATTCGCATTTATCTGCGAACATTCGCAAACGCTGCTGTAAAATGACACGTTCACACGCTGCCTAAATGCCCCTGCGATCTTATCCGCCTTTATATACAGACGGTAGAACAAAGTCGTTTCGATGCGATTAGATTCTTAACATTATTTATGTCAATCAGATGATGCTAGGAATTTTCCAGAGTAACCGTTTTTCACACAACTTCCTCTTATTCTTGGAAGTCATTCACTACACCACGGAAATCTTTCCTATATAAGCCTTTCTCGTTTGCCGCGCGCTCAGTCACAGTCACAATTACAGTTAGAGTTACAGTTTTTCAGTCCACGTTTTCAGTTCAAGTCTCAGTCTTAGTTCCCAGTTCTCAGTTCCCAGTTCTCAGTTCTTCTTAGTCAGTCTTAGTTCAGTCTTCAGCAGTCCAGGTCTTAGTCTAGTCAACAGTTTTAGTCTAGTCCAGGCTTCGTCTTCGTCTTCATTCGTCCTCGTCAGTCTATTGATTCATCTAAATTGTAAGTCTCTATTTTATATTTAAACATGACTTTTAATCAGTTCAATCCAATTTCCAATCCCACTTCACTCCTCAAAACATACACATGCACTGCGTAATTATTGTTTTCTTTGTATTATATAACGATGTTTTCCTCGCTATACCGATACGTTAAACATTCTTGCTATGATATATCCGATTGTATTAAATTAAGTTACACGAATTACCTTTTTCTTAATCTCACTTTAATCTTCATCTTGTATTTGCGTTATTCCAATAATGCTGATTTATAAAAGTTTGTTTAATGTTAACCGACATATCTCATTGTTTAATTTTAGCTAACCCTTTCAACTTTTAAATCTTGTATTTTTACAATAACTTTTCTCATCAATTTACCACTATTATTAATCCATCCGAGAACCAAATTATATTATTAGTATAATTAATAAACTGTTTTATTCAAAATGCCATAAATTTAATCAAGTCGTTAAAACTATTTATTCATCTCTTTCAATTACCTAAATCTAAATTCCCTTCTCAACATACTCACATGGTCCTATCCCAGGTAAAGAGATTAAGTTCTTTGACCTAAATAAAGGACTACCTAACGTATGTTCTGTGATCGGAGTAAATGGGCCTCTCCAGTCCTTGATCTGATCTGTAGACCTACCAGTACGTTTAGGACTCGCCAGGGCGTGAGTAAACAATTTTGTTGCGTCCGTCCTCTTCCAGGACGTAACAAAAAACAATGCTGTATTTGGTAGCCTGTAATTTGATTAGCTCGTGATTAGCAAGACGTCAAACGCTTCGGAATAGTTTAGAGATACTATCGTAGGGAGAGGGGCAGACTCTAATGTAAGAAGGACATAGTCCGAAATGCAGAAAACATGTGGTCGTGCTATGAAATGTATGCAAGTTTTTTTGGAATATAAATAAAAAACATTTATTTTTATTGACAAGTTTATCTTGTTTTCACATTTCACATATACGTGGGTGGTTCCTGAAGTCCCCGACCTGATGGCGGTAGTTGTTTGAAAAATATCACTGTATTAGAAAGTACACAATCTATAAAGCATATGTTTCAAGTTTGAAGAAGCCACGTTGTTTAGTATTTGTTTGGCAGCCATCAATAGTGAACGTTTTCAGTGAATTTGTGAAAATGGGGAAAATTGGTCATCGTAATGTGATACAATACTTTTATTTTAAGGCCTTAGCCCAACCAATATAAAAGCTGAACTGGATTCTACTCTGGGTGAGTCTGTTCCTTCGTTTACAAAAGTAAAATATTGGGTAGCAGAGTTTAAACGAGGCCGTACGAGCTGCCAAGACGAGCATCGCAGTGGTTGACCAAATGAAATGACGACTCCAGAAATGGTGAAGAAAATCCACAAAGCGGTACTGGATGATCGTCAACCGAAAGTGCGCGAGCTAGCAGACAAAGTAGGCATTCCAAAAAGTGCGGTAATCGCATATTATCTGAAAATTTGGACATGAGAAAGCTGTGTGCAAGATGGGTGCTGCGTTTGCTCACACTCGAGCAAAAACAGTGTCTTGAAGATGTTTCAATTGAATGTTTAGCGAAGTTTCACAGCAACAAACGCCTCCTCGGATTATTTTCTGTTCCAAAACTTGAAAAAATGGCTCAGTGGTCAAAGATTTTCCAACAATGAAGAAGTGATGTGGACAGTTTATGGCTATTTTGAGGAGCAAGACAGTTCTTATGATAAAAAGGGTATCGAACTTATTGAACATCGCTGGGAAAAGTGTATAGAGCTGAAAGGAGATTATGTTGAAAAATAAATACATTTTTTTCCAAAATTATTGTGTTTTCTTTGTTGGGTCGGATACTTCAGGGACCACCCCCGTATATAAAGCTACGGACGGTTTCGCGTCGCGACGTATTTGTGCTTTGTACGTAAGTTTAATTACCAGTGTTTTAAGGATAAATTCAATTGGCTTCAATGAAAACACGAATGTTAATTATATACTAAAGGATACTTTTTTTCAATGATGATTTGAAAAACACTACTGATGATGAATAGTTGCAGAAAATGCAGCGTGTACGCGACGATATTGAACTTCCGTGCAACTTCGATGATTGGACAGCGCAAGAACAAAGTGACTGGATGTATCACAATATGACGAATTTATATAAAAACGTGCCAGAATCTTTACAAAATCTGATCCCGGCTTACACACGTTCACTTGATTTCAACCGATCACTAAATGTGTTACCTGAATGGATGGATCCAGATAAATATCACAAAGGACAAAAGTTTGTGCGCGAGCATTATTTCTCGTATATCATGGCTATTATATTGGGTTCTATTTACGCCTACACTTTCGAGGATGGCCTCAAACCAATTATCATAGGAGGAAACAGTCATACACCATATTTAGCAGTGAAAAGGTATTTCTCTGACATATTGTCTTTTAATTTATAAGCCTGACATCGAAATAGCAGCAAGAGTGATATTTCCATACAGAACAAATGTGCGACAGAAATCGTAGGAACGTACCAAAAATATTCGAATATCTTTAGGACATCTCCAGCACGTCTTTTGAACATTTGTGCTGTATTGATAAGGCAGAGATTGCAGAATTAGTAACAAATGACATCGCCATATTACAGTTTTTAAATATTTTTTAAATATTTTTGAACATATTACGCAACTACTTGCATATGCGTAAACTTTCCTGAATCGATTTAAAACGTCCCCAACATCACACTGTTCCCTTTATACAAGGTTCTCCTCCCTCCTTCTTTCATTCTTTGCGCATTTAAAATAACTGTAATAAAATTAAATATATCTTACATTATCTATGTAAATAACATCAACTTCACAGATATTAACCAACGATTGCTTATTACACTGTTATTATACTATATAGTTTAAGGATGAATTCCTTAATTTGAAGGTATCTGAATACGATGAAACGGATACTCGATTGGTACGATGGGGAACCTTGGAGTAAAGGTACGGAGGCTTACAGGGACATGCAAATTGCACGCAATAAACATATAAGAATAAGCACAAAGGTTTCCCTGTTGGATAACAAGCAATATCAGGAGGCATCAAAATTCGAGCAGCCGTGGTGTCCAGAATACGAAACACTTTTGAAGGACTTCGCTCTCACATGTCCGTCTGAGAAGCCTGGACAACGTCCTTACAAAATTTTAGATAATATGTCACGCTAACCGAAGGACTTAAATAATATGGTGATGGCCGTTGCACAGGCCCATTTCATAATGTTGCCTGTATTATATCCGCAAAAAGTTGGCATGCATTTTGTAACCGATGAAGATTTAGAAGCCTTTTGCCATATGTGGAAATGCTACGGATATTTTCTCGGAATTGAAGATGAGTAAGTAGTAGTTTTATTAACATCCAGAAGCAGAACGCCGAATTTCTTAGGACACAAAGTNGCCATATGTGGAAATGCTACGGATATTTTCTCGGAATTGAAGATGAGTAAGTAGTAGTTTTATTAACATCCAGAAGCAGAACGCCGAATTTCTTAAGATACAAAGATTAAAAATAATATATTGCTTTTCCTTCTGCTCGTTATATATCAATAACATATTTTGTAGAAATATATATGAGAAATCATATGATCGTTATATAAGTACGATACAATAAAGTTCACCGCTCGTATAAAATACAACTCTAGAAAATAAAAATATTAATATCATATGCGAATAATGTTAATCGATTGTTAGTCCAGCAAAATACGCCTCTCTTTGGTGTCAAAC